CAGGGGGTCCCGGCGGGGGAAGGGGCTTCGCCCACGTGCGGCCCCCGCGCCGGGCCAAACCGACCCGGACCTGGGGTGTTTTGGGAGAGAGGCCGCGGGCGTGAGGAAGGCCCAGGGTAACAGGTGCCTCACCTCGGCTGATGGGATTAACTCAAGGGCCGCAGAGAGAGGGAGCCCGGCAGCAAAATCCCAGGAGAGGGAGAGAGAGAGGGAGCCTCTGGCGGCCAACCGAGGGCGAAAAGCACCGGCCCCGGGCGAGGCCGCCCCACCCCCTTGGCCGTGGGCGAGGGGCCTCTCAGGCCTAGGGCAGAACTGCCCTTCTGGGATGGGTCAGCCTCTCCATCTGGGTGTTGGTTTGGCGGTAACTAGTGCGTTGGGCCACCCGCTTCCGGGACCCCGCAAAAGCCTGCAGTTAACTCTTTGACCCTGAGTATCCAAAATCGGGCCTTTCTCATGGGGGCCAAGACCTCTTCTAGGTCACTAGCTCCATCTGACAGCACCTTGACCTTAAGGTCCATCGCAAAAAGGAAAGGAATGAGGTCTTCTGACTTTGTTACAGAAGAGAGTTTCTCAGCAACCCCCAACCCTATTATAAATGCTCAGTACCTACTCATTATTCCACCACCCCCAAGTACCGGAAGTGTGACAGCCTTAAAACAAAGTATAAAACTGATCATGATCGTCAAAATAGACTTTTAAACCGATCCTCCCTAAACTCGGTAGAAACTCTCAAAGGGTACTTGGAATTTCAAGAACGTGAAAACATGATTTTCATAGAAAATATAAATGAAGATTTGTCAAAACATTATTTAACTCATTAATTAGGGAGATAATCTGCAAGATATTGCAACCTATTCAAATCAGAGTGTAAAGAATAGACCTTTAGGGACAAACAAGAAAGAGGTGAAAGTATTAATATTCTATAAGGCACTAATATTCTATAAGGCACTAAAAGTTAATGTTTTGAATTGTTTGATTTACCAGGGTAGTAATCAAATGTATCTAAATGTATCTAAATCAAATGTTAGGGAACAAAAAAAATACATTTCTGTAGATAAGAATATTTATATTACCACAAGTATCTACAGTTTATAGTGTATTAAAATAGTTAAAAGAGCAGCCTACCAGTAAAATACCCTACTCAAAAGAGCAGATTACTCTAGAACCTCAAACCCCAGAGCCCTATAGATAACATGCAACATTCCAGAGGAGGAATATCCAATAATCTTGCCCATTTCAAAGTCACACACAAGGCTTATCAACAGAACTATTATTATCTTCACTTTAGAGATGGGAAAACTGGGGCTTCGATTTTATGACTTCCCACAGTTTTATCAGCTGGTAAATGATTATGGCTAGATTGGGACTCCAGAGTTTGCTTTGTGAGCAAAATTTTCCTCCCTTAATTTTAAGAGGCTTTGTAAATACTCACTTCTAAGTATCTTTTTATTTTGAACAGTGAAGTTTTTTTCTTTTCTTAAATCCTCACCAAATTCTGGGTGCTTACCCAAGAAATTGGCATTCTCTTATCTATGAAGTGGATGTCACTTCTATATGCATAAACAGATGTAACAGGCAATGTGAGGGGGCTGTGGATCCAGTCTGCACTTTGGGAAAGAACATTTGTGCTGTCTGGGATAACTTAGTGAAAAATTTCCTGTCACTTAATTGTAGCATGGATACCATGATTTTTAGGAGAATAACCTAAATAAATGCAGAACCTAATCACTGAGTTCTGTCTGTAGAAGAGGGGGCAGAATTGGCAATAACAGCAGTCTTACACCTCTTTGCAAAAGGATGATTCATACAGAAAAGCAAGCTAAAGAATTTGGCTAGTTTGGATTTATTATTTTAAAAATGTGAAACTTCTGGAAAGATTCACACTGAAGGAATGTGTTACAGGGTTTTTAAAACATAATGCTGATAATTTGGGGTTCCTAAATTGCTCATAAACTACCTTCCACTTCTAACAATTTTCTGAATGCTTCAAAGGTCTACTACACCATACTAATTCAGTACATGTGGTTATTTAGTTGTAAGTAAATTAAATAAATGCAATAGAAAATTCAGTTCCATAGTCTCACTGGCCATATTTGAGGGGCTCACTAGCTGCTTGTGACTATTCTCTATTGGATAGTGTAGGTAAAGATCATTTCCATCAATGACATTTCCCTTGGACAGTGCTATTCTAGACAATATCTTCATTTCTACAGAAAATGAGACATATATATATATTTTATAAGGGTTATAATATCTGCATGTAGCAGTTTTATGGCACAGAAGGTGAAGTTCATATATTAACATGCAAAATGTTCAGAAAACAATATATTTGGGCGGAGATTGGGTGAAGAGCTCAGCTTTAGATTTCTCAGTCTTCCAAAATTTACCTAGAACATTATAGGCTGTTATTCTTATTTTCTTTGTAACCAGTAAATATGATTAGTAACATAGGGTCACAAGACTAGTAGATTAAGAGTATACAGTGTATTCCATATTTTTTAGGAGTTTTCTCAACATTTTTTTTTCTAATTAATATCCTGAGTATGTATCCAAATAATTAAATTACTCATTTGTATAAGCTGAATCAAAATTTAAGATTATGGAAAACTAACCCGAATTTGAAGACTTCCTTGATATATCAAGAAGATTACCTGACTGTGTGTTAACATCAGTCACGTTCATGATGGGGGAGAAAAGTATAGAGTAAACTTAAACATCTCTAAAAAACTTCTTTACAGAATAGACAAAGTATGGAAAAGTGGTTTTTGTAGGTCATTTTACACATCATTTTAGCATAGAAGATATTCTTACTACCTTTTCTTTGACAATAATACCATTTAGAATAATGTGTTAATAGTGATGAGACAGCTTGTTTACCAAAATTTTAGTTACAACTGTTTATTTCACATTTGTAAATGCACAGTGCTTTGTCACTTTTGAACTTCAATGATGAGATTCAGGTATTTTAAAGACCCATCATTTAAAAGAACCATCCCTATTTGAGACCAAAATCTTGGTCGAGGTCAAATATCATCCTCTAAAATAGTGAATCCTCCCACTTACTTTCAGAATATGATGTTGGTGAGATCTATGATCAGTATGATTTTATTATGTTATCTACAAAATTAAGCTCACATCAGTGGATTTTATGATATAGAAGGTATCATTTTTGCCCAAGTGAAATGATAATTACAGCTTCACTTTCTACCTGTCTGTGGGCATGACATTGAAAAGTTATCCTATCATTTTGGGTCATTTCTCATAATATAATCAGTATTTGACTTCTCAGCCTAAAAGTAGACTTATGATAGGCCTAAGTAATTTTATTTGCTACAAGAAATAAAATGTAGAAGTTCTTGGGATTCCTTAAAAGTCACTTTTTAAATATTTTAAATATTTCAATTCTACAAATAAACTACAGTAGATATATATATATATTATAATGAAAGTATAATGCCTTACTTGGATACACTATTACATTTTATAATTAGATGAATAATGAATAAGTACTTGATATTTAATTTACACTACACATTTAGGTTAAAGTGTTACATCATCTATATTTTTTTCCCATTATTACTTTAGTTGGTTGTCCACACATACAAAAAAAGGAAACCACAAATTTTGGGGGGGTTAGACATTGATGTTTTCCTTACTGTCATTGCCTCTAACTTCCAAACAATGGCATACCACTCTTTTCAATATACAGTATTACAGTAGTATAAAGAGCATGTTTTAAAAATGTGTGTGAGTTGTTTACCAATTTATACTAAAGCTCATTTGACTTTCAGCAGATCGGCCCCTCAGGCAGAGGGATGCTGATAATGCTACTCTATCTGCCAGTCCCCCATCTCCAGACTGCAGATGAACACTGGGACCCTTGCAATTGGCATGTCTACTATTATCTCTGAGAATCATTATAATTTCAAGACTGAAACAAATGGGAGAGGCAATAATAATCTTTCACTGAAAGAACAGTTAGAAAATTGTCAAATTGAGATTAAAATTGAAAACATTTCGGGCCCTCCCTGGTGGCGCAGCAGGTTAAAGCACAGCACTGAGAAGCTAAAGCCACTTCCACATGAGTTCGATTCCCGCCTGCCCCAGAGGTGACCACATGGCGTGGCAGACCTCTCCTGACCCGCCCGCTGCTCCCCTCAGCAGTGTACTTTGTCGATCTGCCTGTTCTGCTTCCCACTCTGTCTCTGGTGAAGCCTTTCGCCACCCCTGAGCCTCTAGCCTGTACCCCAGTTCTGTATGTACAAATAAATAAATCTTAAAAAAAAAAAAATTTGAAAACATTTCACTGAACTCATATTCAATACTCTGACCCTAGAGAAACCAAGCCTAGTTCTGGAACTGTATGATAGCATAGCTCTTCTTTGTACAAGATTGTTGGGGGAAATGGTTACCTGAAACTCTCAGTTGTGAAAATTGACAGAAAGGAATTAAGAATAACAAAGATATTTCAGTAGTTTCTCTATTCCACGGCATTCACTTGGTGA